TCCCAATAACCACAAAATCTCTAACAATAAAAACAACTATACACTATAATTTATATATCATACATAAAAAAAAAAAAACAAAAAAAAAAAAAATATCAACATAAACATAATCATATTGAACAAAAATTAATCATCAACAACAAATGCTATTCTCGTCCTCTCTGTCTGCCTTTGTTTCATTCTAATAAAACCTCTTTGAATGCTTTGCATTATTAACATGAAAAAAATTAACAAAAAAAAAAAAAAAAAAAAAAAACAAATACAAAATCTGATGAAACCAAAACAACACAAAAACAACTTTTAATTGAACAATAATAAATTAAAATAATATTATTAAATCACTTACAACTACAACAATAACTACAATAACAGCACGATGTAAGTACAAGATTACACTTTAAACACATCTTCCAAATACTCGCACATCCTTGTTAACATTTGCTTCTTTATGTGTATGCGTACTTATCCCCTCTTTCTCTCTCTCTATCCCTCTCTCTCTTTCTCTCTCTCTCTCTCTCTCTTCATCTCTCCATCGCTCTTTTTCTCTTTCTTTCTATATATATTTATAAAACTATTTACTTGTTAACACCCAAATACTCTGATCCTATATTTAAAAAATTTCTTAGAAATCTTATATATATACTTTTTTATTTTTCACTTTCTCTCTTTACATTATCATTCATTAATATTTTGTTCTGCTATTAACTTAACGTAATTTTTAACATCTCAACGGCTGTGTATCTATATACGTAACATATACGTTGAATAACCTAAGTTTATTTATACTAAACCTTGAAATGAAAATTTCATTATTTAGTTTTTCGGCAATTGCTTGTGTCTTGTATATAATATATGCAAAATAGGTAGGTAACACCAACATGTTTACTAGGAGAGAGCAAGACTAAATATAAGAGATTGATTTCTATTCTATTCGCTATTGTCTGCAAGTATTACAGGAGCATATGTTGATAGACAAATATTTACATTGTTTTAATAGCATTATTATTATTCTAGTGATCTTCAATTTGCATACTATTCCTGGAGATATCTAATGCAAACACAGATTTATAAACTATTATACTGCTGTTTTGTATTTCTTCGCCAGTGGGCGTCGTTTGATAATACCGGCGGTGGCGATATACATAGAGTCCTTGTAATAATCATTTTCTTTGATATTAGATTTGCGCGTTGTCACTCATCACTGAATGTTCATTTAATATGATCCTTACATCGTCTACGTCCGCTTGACTGCTTAAGTCATTTTTAACAATACATAAATGGCTTATCGTTTTTAATTCTAACCCATATAGCATTATGCAGTACATTTCATACTCAGTCTTCGCACAAGATGTGACCCGCTAGACAGCTTGAAAGTCTTCTAAGGCCCTGTTGTTTATTGTCCTCCCACTATGAATCTATTTTGACGCTTTTATCCGTGAGTCAGAATTGAATTTATGTAATGCAAACCAATACCAGGCGAAGAGGGTGTTCACGGAAATACATTGCAGGCAAAGAACATACCCAAAGATCGATTAAAAGTTTAGTATCTGCTCTCAGTCAGAATTGTGACGAATATGCGCTTGAATTAAAAGATAAGAAATAAGCAAAAACATTAGAATGACTTAAGGCCCGCCATTACGCCCTACACTCAATACAGTTATTTATGCAATGACTTTTCAAAATAAGATGTTACAGAGGAATCGGCCGAAAAAATCGGTCCGATCCCTATCACTTTTCAATAACGTTCATTCCTGGGCCAAAAGATGGCAGTGTAGCGAATTTCATTGGAATCTCTCAAATATTGCGATCAATGAGTTGAACAGAAAAATCTAAGACAAAAAAGAGGGGCAGACGGATAGGTAAACTAAGATCCTTCGGGGGATAAGTGGGGCAGGGTGTAAAAACCAAGGCACGAGCACACACTCATCTAAGGATAGATGACATCTTTGATATTTCTGGTGATTCTTAACAATCGTTTTCGTTAGCTCTCATGCACTTAATCGTATTTTCAGAATTTGCAAATCCTTAATGTTTCATTTATATATAGTTGTTTTTTATTTAAAACATGATATTATATATAATGAATTCTAAATTACGATCACGTAAGTTATATGCCGCCCCTTATTTACTTTTAATTAACATATTTAATATCGCAAATGTCTGTGAATACGTGGCCAATCAAAAAAATTTGATTTTTTTTGTAAAGTGTTTTCAATGCTACCCAAGCTATCTGCACTGATATCTATTTGCTGTCGTGCCTAGATCAAGACTACATAATTCAATAAAATGTCAAAACTAAGAATGGCTTAGGAGGAGTGCGTAATTGTTTAGAGGAGAAACATGTTGGTAAAATTTTAAAAAAACTGGGAAAGAATATTTCAAGTTTATGGATAGATCAAAAGCTTTAAAAAATATTATAAATAGAACATATATTAGAAATGATTGAAGTATGCTTTATCATATGTTTTTCGTTCACTAACCTGCCGTATTCAATTTAATTTTAGCTTTCAATGTAAACCCATCTGAAGTTGAACTTTTATTTTTCTCATTAATTTTATGTAAAAATTTTATTTTTTTTTTCAAACCTATGGGAAAAAAGCATAATCGTAATATTCGAACTTGTTGTTAACATAGTTCACAAAAAAGGGGAGCTCAGTGGGCAACTTATCGCGGTTGAATTTTAAATGAATGCAATTAGTTGTTTAGTTTATAATATTGTGACCAACAATTACAATAAGGATTCTCGTCTGTTCGCGGCACTGAGGAGGATAAATTTAAAAATATATATACCTTTGATATAAAGGTATCATTTGAAGATTACTTTTTGTAATAAACAGAAAAAATTCTTATATAATAAATAGGTAAGTGAGGGCATAGTGCTAAGCTGTGACAAAGAGGGAAAATTTTCTCAAAAAAAAAAATCTCCGCCATAACAAACGATTTATCATCAAATTGCGACAAGTAAGAAAATTGAATTCTAAGCGATTGGCTACCTTAGCTGGTGTGACGGGAATTCGCTCGCGTTTTTAAAGATCTATTATAAAAATGCAACGATAATCCGTTAATTAAGTACTAGTGATATTATTCTCATATCAAGATCAAATTACTCTACAAGAGAATATACGCTATGCTCAAAAAGGCATGTGTACACAATTAATCTTTCAATAATAAGAAAATCGGTCAAATCGACCAGCACATACTACGCGGAAAACCTTCTCGATCTGAACGATGACGATATTTTAATTTGTCGATTTTGAACTTTATCTCTATTCTGGGGATTCGCTTACCAGTCATTCGTTTGGTTAAGTAAATCAAAGAGCTATTAAGTAATTTTCCTTAAGGCAACAGAAGACTTAATGCAATTATTAGCGTAAGCAACCGTTTTGAATTTCTCAAAAAAATTTTTGTTTAGTATTTTCAAAAAAAAAAAAAAAAAAAAAAACCAAATTAAAAGTCAACTGCTATTAGCGAAAAAAAATAGAATACAAGAGCAAGTGTACGGTTGAACTTTGATTGAGGAACGGCACCTCCAGAACAAAAAAATCTTATTATAAGGAAATTTTAACTGATTATATAGCTAAGATTAGATGAATTTGATATAAAATCATATAAATGCAATATGTAGATAAGCAAGACGAAGTACAAATGACAACTAAGAGAATGTTCAAAACATTATATTCGCGATTTTATTCTTGAATGTCGTACAGTATCACGTAGGGAATAATTTGTGTTCTGAATTCGTTTAAGAATGTCATCAAGTGTACCTGGTAATAGGATTGGAATCAGGCAAGCATAACCCTCAACAGAACATTGTGATAGCTCTCTTTCTTAGAGATACTGACGGATGAATCCGAAAAATGGGCCTACGACTGATAATCAAGATACAAAGCAGCTGAAAATTGAAGAGAATAGCGAAGAAGAGAAACCCACCCAATATGTATAGAAAAACATATTATTGCTATCAATTTGGTATGCACTGTTGTGAAAATTGTTTTTCTTATACCAGATGCTATCCAGAAACTGGATATCAAAATAGCTCAACTCTTCTTTTATATTATCTGATTCGTTTTCCTATAAGCAATGTTTAAAAGGCCTGAGGATACTTTTTTCATATATTCGTTCTTTAAGCTTTGATTAATTTTCGTCCCGCTTTCCAAACGGCTATGCTCATATATTTATTTCAAATCTCATGCTTCGTTGCAATGCTTTTTATGTATACAGTTGCGCAATAGATGTTGTTGGGGGTCAAATTTGAATTTTTTGATATAGGTTTTCTACCGTCCACCGTCACTCTTTTTTTTCCCAAAATCTTCAAAAAGCCCAATACAATCTAAATGTTTTCGATTCTGATGTGGTCCTATTTTCGGGAGATTTCTGCAAAAATTTTCAAAGCGTTTCTTTGAAAATCTTAAACTTAAACCTATGTTTCTGATTAAAACTTTTTTGCTCTTCCAAAATAAAAACTAAAAAAAACACCGTTTGTTACTGTAAACAAATTAATTGTCGTAAGGCACAACAACTAGTTGAAATTTTCAATTTTGTATTGTTGTTAGGTTCGATCAGCTAATATATATATATATATATAAAGGAAAAGGAAAAGGAAGAATAAGCAAATTATACTGTTATGCTTTTTAACCATAGACTTGCTTTCAATTTTAAAGCTTTTTCTAAAAGTACAATCAATTCTTGCACTAAAATT